TTAACAAAGGGCAGAAAATGCCATTCGACCTTGGTAAACTATATGGATACATATGACCTGGGTAGCTTTCCTGGGAATATGTGGTTTGAAAAAATTTTGCAAAAAGATCGGCGATTGCCTGATCATTGTTTGCCGACATATTCAAAAATGATAGCGAGGATGGATGTGCGGACGTTCTACGCTTACTGTTTACGAAGCTGTAAAACTGTTTAGGGTCCTTTGAAAAACGTATCCTGCATCGAAGGAGGTAGTTCCTATAGCATTGAGCATTAAGAACAGTGAAGTTTGACCGAGCTATTAAGTAATTAGAAAGAGAAGAGGGAGAACCAACTTCTTGAGCTTTTTTAAATAGTCTTGATTTTAGATTTTTTAGACTGGATAACTCTTTGGTGAACCAAGGAGGTTTCGCAGATCTAGTCGGACATGAAAGTGGGACACACGTGTCAAAAATTGTGTCAAGTACATTATAAAAAATGTTTGTGCCTTCAATGACGTCACTGCACAAGTACAGAGCGGACCAATCAAAATTTCGAATTAAGTTATTGAGCTTCGTAAACTCGGCTTTACGAAAGCAGCGGACGCGTTCAGATAGCCTACCCGCACGATCCGATACAGTAGGTCCAATATCTATCGACACTTCGAAAGTAGGATGATAGCAGTCTTCAGGTATAGTGAGCGGGAGTGCTCGTGTTAACAACGCTACGGTCGGATCCGAGACAAAGCACAGATCAAGCAATCGACCCAAGGAGTTTTTTACATGGTTGACTTGAGACAGGGACAGGTCTAATAAGCCATCAATAAACTCATGTCGTGACATGGGCACAAGGTTGTTTGACTCGTTAACCGAAGACCAGACAGTACCTGGCAGGTTGAAATCCCCAAGAACTATTAAATGGTCTTTATCTGATAGCGAGGAAGAAACAGTTTTTAAGGCAGACAAATGCTGCTCGTATATTAGTACATCCGAAGACGGTGGAATATACGAGCAAGTGACATAAATAGACTGGCCGGGAAGAATCAGTCTAACACAGAGGAATTCCAGGTCTTGTGAGACCTGGACTATAAAAAGTTCCGACGTAAAGTTAGAGTTTACTGCAATCAGAACCCCTCCTCCACGTCGAGACGAACGATCATTCCTATAAATTGTGTACCGATCTGCCAAAACTTCGGAACTAAGAATGTCCGGCTTTAACCAGGTTTCGGTAAAAACAATAACATGGGATGAAAATGTGAAACTATCCATAAAAAGAGTGCTCAGCTTACTACGTAAGCCGCGAGCATTTTGATAGGCTACAAAGAGGGATGTTAGTTTTTTGACTGCAAGGAATTGCAGTGGGAAGAGGGGAATGGAGCAGAGGAGGAAGGACCACTGGCCTCACTACTAGGAAGAGTTATGGGGGGCCTATTTTTCTTCTTAGCCTTAAACTCTTTCACAACCAGGTGCTCTGGCCAAAATTTGGAAGAGCAAATGGTCCCGAAATGAGTTGGAGACACGCTAATCTTGAAAGAGGATATCTCCCTGGCATATGAGAAATTAAACTTCTCCACCTTTAAACCAACGGCTTTTATTTTGCTTTGTATAAAAGCAGTTACATCATTAGATGTGAGGTCAGGGGCAAGCCGAGAGACAAAAACTTGCCGCTTTGGTGGGACTCTTTAGCCAATTATTCGTACAGCCAATTTATTGTTCTTCGAAGTGCACTGAAAATGGCTTGTCCATCGTGCAATCTGATCCCTAACAGGCTTTTGTAGGAGTATTATGCCATCGCTTGGCCCAAAATGTCCATGTACCCACATGACGTATGCGCGTTATTAATGCGATCAGCATAAATACACGCACAGAGGCAATTTATATGCGCAATTTTGTGACAATGCCATATGCATACAAGCACAAACACACATACATGCATATCTATGTCTGTATAACTATGTTTACTTTAATTACAAGCAAGAGCAAGAGCAAGAGCCCGAGCTCGGGCCTTGGAGCCGTTTAATTGCGGTTCCGATGAAGAACAACTTAAGAGAGAGCGGGAGAGAGATATATAAGGAGGTCTCGTCGGCAAAAATAAGAAATTCGCTCGTGAGGGCAACGACAATGGAGTGTGCGGATTTGGACTTTGCTCCCACAATTTTCTCTGCTCTAAACATTCCGGCACATGAACCAATTTCACATCTTTCGCGACCTTTTGTCCGCCACCAACCTTCCGCGTCGACAAGCAAACAAGCACTGGCAGTAAGAAAAAGCGGCGAGCAACTCTGCCACCGATGAGACCTCCTTGTAGTTACTTCACGGTTGGATGGTTGAAATTTGTTGATTGTACGCCCAGAGAGAGAGACAAACGATTGACAAATTAAATTGCTTATTGATGAGAGGAAAAGCACACACACACACACACACACACAGGCAAGGATTTGTGTGTGTGTGAAGGATATATGTATGCTGGTCCTGGGAAAATTGCCTACGCGGCGACACCGAAAATGAAATAAGTGCATAATGGAAATTTGCAAAAGCCAATTTTGTAATAATTTAAATTGAATATTTATGTTGGCCCACCACCCCTACCTCCCCTGTGTCCATGTGGTACTTCATTTACGAGCATAATCGACTGCAGTGGTGCCTGCAAGTGGTTTCGGCTGTGGAGGAGTCTTTGGGGATGGAGCCATCCATCCATCTGCATACTACATTAGTTTTCGAGTGCTTCGCATTCTGCCTATTTGCATATTGTATGTGTGTGGTATTTGTCTTTTGCCCCCAGCCCCGGGCCCTTGCAAAACTTCAACAGTCATAACACTGCCGACAAACAACATGATTGAGAGTGGGTAGAGTGAAGGGGTCCTGCCAGGACCCAGGAAAAGCCATTTAAATTAGAGCTTTGTTTGCCTTGCATTAGGCCAGAAACAAATATTGCAGTGTATTCAAGTCTGAGAGATGCTCCGGGGGCGAGAATGATACACTCAACGACAGGCAGACGGAACGGAATGGAAAGGTAAAAATCGAAAATGAAATTCGTCAAAAATCACACACACACACACACACACACAAAAGGCTCTTCTCTTCTTGCCTGATGACTGGATGTCAAAAGTGCTCAAGTGCCGAAAGAGAGAATTCTGAGTGCAAAATATTTAAAAATCAAAAATCGAAATTAATGCCAGCTCTCTGCTTTTCCCCACCCGTTCCCCTCGAGGGCCAGTGGAGCCAACGGAAAATTGCATTTTATGTGCAAATCAATAAGACTTCATCTCCATCTGACTTTAGCTTCAGTTTTTAGACGATCAATTCCAGACTGAAGTGTGTGCGTGGCTGAGTGGATTTCCTGTTTTACTCCTGCCACTGCCACTGCCACTGGACTGGACGATTACTCGTATTTTCGGTTATTTTGTTGTGTTTTTGCTTGTTAAATTTTAATTCCAGACAAGAGTGCTTGAATCGGTGATTGCTGATTCCAGGATACCGGAGGGGTGCAGCTGGGTGTGAAGCACGTGATTTTTACTCAAAATCTTTTGAGTGCCTAATCTCATCAGAATTATGGGATTTCAATGTTGCCGATTTTCCGATACAACCAAAAGTGCAATTGAAAATGCAATTTTGCTCTAGCGAAGCGAAAAAAACACCTTCTGGGAGCAGGAAATTCATTTTAAAGTACGAATTTCGAGTTGGAATTTCCAACTCACCTTCAAAAGAAAGGTGAAAGAAAGCTTTGCTCTGATTTATTAATTTGTTCATATTCAAAGTTCGGAGAGAACAGAGCCGTGTCCGACGAGAACTTCCGTTCCAGCTCCAAAAGATCTTTCCAAAATTACTGAAAGTGGCAAACAGAATATTGATCTTTGGAGAGTGAAGCTTCAGCTCTTATTAAGTGCTTTCCAATACGCCGATGGATCGTGGTATGTCGTGACTCGTTCTGATTCTTTTACTGCGTTTTCAGATAGATTTTCATAAGTTATTTTTCTATGCTAATAAATAAAGTAAGTTACACTTACTTTTAACTAATGGAACACACATTTTGAGGGTCTGGACTGCCAGCAAGATCATTTTGTTGGCGTTTTGCGTCGCTTGGGCTTGCACTTAGCCAAAGCTAAAATTCGATTTTGAGGGTAAAATTGAACAAAAACATGGCTTTACTTTCACTTACTTTTACAATTGCTTGGTGGACCCATTCTACGGTAGCGATCCTTCTCCTTGCAGTCGAGTGCGTTCCAGGCCTTTGCGCCCTTGCGGACCATCTCTTTGGGCGACAAGCCCACGTGCTGCGTCTTAAAGTCTCGCAAAAAATTCAAATAGCCATTCCGTGTCACGGGTCCAACTCGCTGGGCTTTGTAGGGTTTGATGTCGCAACTTACAGCAGTACCCATGCCAGGCACTAAAATCACAAAGAGTTGAGCGAAAAACAAAGAATTTGGCAGGGAAAAAGTAGCAAGAAAATTGTATTTTGTATTGAATGTATTTATGAATATATTATTGTGTGCTCAATGTATTTATGTCAGTTGTGTACTTGACTAGAACTCGAAACTGATTGAATTGTTTTTACTGAATCCATTTTGAGCTGGAAAAACAGGTTGCTTTTCGTGTAAAATTGTGGAAAATAGTTCCGAGTGAATGTACAAGGTCTTTAAGCTCAGAAATCATTCAACGAAAATCACAAAAATACACCATAAATTGGGTAAAATCAACACTTGGACTTCCCATCAATGAACTTCTGAAAAACACACACAAAAGCATATCCATTAGCGCCATCTGCGCTCCTTTGAGTAGCTCCTTTGCCACCGAAGACCTTTTCAAAATCAATGCGCCATTGAGCACGAGCCTTCGCCTCCATCCTCCTTCTAGAATTGTCAAGTTTATTTTAATAAATACACAGCCAGAGTCTCGGAGTGAACTGAACCTTGCTCAACCCATTTAAATATCCATCGAGCAGCTTAACACCTGAACCCAAAGACAGGAAAGCGAAGAGCGAAAGGAAGTTGGGGCAGGACAGGGCAGGGCAGGGGCCCTGAGCTATAACTTCTGCTCCATTTGGCTCCGTTCAGTAGGTACATTTAGAATTCTAAGCAATTTCCTTATCTGCTTGGATTAAAAACCCCGCCACAAGTCAAGGACCTCCGCCATGCAATAATAATTAGCATTGGCTTGGCTTGGCCCCCTTTTTGGCGTGGATGGAGCGACCACTCTGAGGGCCACTCTGAAATTTATCATTTCCATAGTCCATGAAACATATTGCTCTTATCCACATCCATCCATCCACTCATTGTTGTTCATAACTTTTGTGCATATTATTAAAGTTTGGACTCTCTGTCCATCAGAGAGAGAGAGAGAGAGAGAGAGAGTCAATGACTGGCTCATCCTCATTCGCATTCTGCTTCCTGTTTCCCTTTGCAATTGCTCAGCTGGAAGCAATCAAAAATGTTGATGTTAAATTTATTTCAAATTCCATTTTGGATGTGCTCAAGGACAATTTGCCATTCACCATTCACCGGGCACTAATAATATTATCAGCAACAACAACGCGGGCCCGTTGTCCGTTGTCCGTTGTCCGCCAATTCAATGACTCCACTTCTGGCTCCTGGCTCCCGCCTACCGCCCCACCATTCACCCTCTCTCTCTCTCTCTCGCTCGCAAATTTGTCAGCAATTGAAATTCAGCAAACATTTTTGAATTTTGTTTGCCTCGACGGGTTTTTTGGGTATTCCTGGGGCTCGTCGCCGGCTCTCTGGCTGGCTCCCTGGCTCCCTGGCTGGTTGGCTGTCTGCCCAGCAGGCACATTTTGCATTTTCAACCCAGAGATTCCCCACTGCAGCTCTCGCTGGCTGGCTGCTGGCACCCACTGCTTTGATTTCTATCCACAGCGTGAATATGCAAATTGCCAGCTCCGTGGAACAGCTCTCCAAGTGGCATCGAAACCGCCAAAAATGTTCCCGCTCTCTGTCTCTGCCTCTGTCTCTGGCTGAAGTCAAACAAAAGGAATCCGCGCGCGCTTCTGGAATGTGGAATATGTTGAATGAGCGAAATTAGTCGAGATATTTTAATCTAAATGGAAATTTCGCCACACAGTTATTCGAGAAAGGTACACCCCAAGGCACAGCTGGAGTCACAGTCCATCAATGCATTGTAGCCACTGTACTTGGGTTGGGGGAGCGTGCAGCAAAATGCAATTGCATATTCAAGTTTTGCACTTGAAATTCAACGATTTGTATCGACTGCCACCGCCGCACACGAGTATGAATGCCCAAAGAGATCGAAGACAAAAAAAAAAACAGAAACAAAAACCCCAAGCACGAAACGGAAGCAGACGGTGGGGGCAGCCACAGGGTGTCTAGCGTTGCGATATAAATCTTCAGCCTCTCTGAACAAATGTTTTGTGCATATTTGAACTTGAGTCGGCAGCACGGACCCACAGACCCACAGACCCACCCAAACCCAAACCCAGAGCCAAGCCAATTTTAAATTGGCAAAAGGTTAAGCCAAAAAACTAACAATTCCCAAGGCAGACACGGGGCACGGGGCACAGGAGCTGAGCAGCTGGCACGTCGATGGCATGCATAATTAGATGGAATCCGGCGCTCTTTTTGGGCTGGGGGGGAAATTGATTGAAGAGCGGGAAAAATAGAAATATTTCCTCATCCGCCCATTGCTGGGCGGGATTAGAATTTAGCCAACTATTTCGGCACACAAATCGCTGCTAGGTTGAGTGGAAAATTAAATGTTTGCTTATTAAATATAAATACAATGATATCAAACATAAATACATTTGATTTAAGCACAAAACTATTCATTTAATATTTGTAAACATTTTTAAAGCTCCTAAATCTGCTCTCTCACCTGTCCTTACCTTAGCCAATCAATCTGCAGCCTTTCCATAGTCAACTTGTTGGTCAAATAATACGTTGAAGCTTATCCTGCCTTGCCGTTGAATTTCATTCAGTTTGATTCAGGATAACTCTGAAAAGGACTCAAGGAAAGCTCATTGTGTGGCACTTGTTGTGTGTCCTAGAAATAAAAGGCATGAAAATGGAAGGAAGCCGAACCAAGAGGCAGACATTGCTGACATTGATGTTGTCATCGGACATGTCCATGTGCTCTTGCCCCAACAGGACGGCCTCATCATCAACAGCCAATCGACTGAAGCTCTCGAGCCAAAAAAGAACAAAAGAAAAGTTCCAGAGCGGCAGAGATTGTCGACAGCTAATTGATTTTATATGAATGATATGTTAAATACAAATGGCCCCGAAAGAAAGCGAATTTCGCTCCAATGGATTCTCAATTAGCCCCCAGATTCTGCTCGGACAGCAAAAGGACTTCCGCACAATGTGGAAAAGGCTTAAAGTAGGGAATTCCTTTCCTAGGCTTGTCTGCCATCTAATTTGCATAAACAAAACGTCAGGCTAATCAGTGAGCAGCCTTAGAAGTGCACTTACCTGCAGCTCCTTCGGTGACGCCAACTTAAATGCCAATTAGTTGCCATTCGGTTTGCGCCCGGGGGGCCTCCTTTCTGCTCTGCCACTCATTAACAATGCCAATTGGAAATGTCCGAAAAGTGCACAGCCAATCGGCCAACAATGAGGCGTCTAATTAGTCAGCTTGAGTTATCCCAGGCACGTTTTTTTGTGGCTTTTTCCTCTCCCCTGGGGTGCCAGTTGCCGTTTCCCCACAGTCCCGAGGTGTGTGCTCCGAATTCACGCCTCTGTATCGTCGGCGTCTCTGGGCATTATAAAATATTTCTCGCTGCTTTTCCATGTTCCCGTCGACTGGGAATTAAACAAATTTATTTGCAAATCGAGCAGCAGGCAGGCGGGGGAGCTGTGGACCGGAGCTAACTTAATTTGGGGCAACGGCAGCCAGTCTGGCTTGGGCCAGAAATTGTATTAACACTTTTCCCGCATCCACTTCTCCCTCCTCCTTGTCACGGTGTCTGCGTGACTGTTGCGCTGTGTGTTGACCCTTCGCCTCCAGACATTAGATAACCAAAAGCAAAGCGTTCCATTCCATTCCTGCTTTTTGCCGTTGCATGCGAATGCGGCACGAACTGCTTGCAACTGAATCGCTTCCCCCCAACTTTGGCTTTTAATTAAAAAGGTCACTTTCCAGGTTCACTTTATGCTGAGGCGGCGAAACTCGCAGCGCCAATCGGGAGGGGATTGAAGCTGCCGCAGCTCTAATCCCTCCATCCAGGACTCACAGCTCTACGGATTGGAGTTCATTTTTGTGACACATTGACAAATGCCCTGCCCGGCACGCCACAAATCGTTAATAACACTCCGCACCACACACCTCGCCGGTCCGCCGGGCAATGCCAATTAAACGCCCGCAACGGACATGAGAGACGTGTCTCCTGCTTTGGCTGCCCTTTTGTTTTGGCGGCTATTTTGCATTTGTTTTTGGCAATGGCTTTGGTACATCGCCCGCTGTTTCCATCTGGCTGTGACACGTTGGAGCTTTAGGACGGGGAGGCGACTCCTCCTGCTTCTGCTTCTGCTTCTGCTTCTGCTTCTGCTCCAGTTGCAGCTCCATTCATGCAGAGCGTCCTCGATGCGACCATGTTTTGTTAACGTAATTGACAACAACAATTGACAATCGGCCCAGAACTCAAATGGTCATGTTTCTGCTCCTATTTCGTGCCAGCTCCCCGCTCCTGCCACCCGTTGTGCTGCTGTCATTATCAAACCTTCCAAAGACTCCAAAAAATACACCACAAAAAAAAAGGAAAAAGCGGGAAAACGCGTGCAGTTGGTGGAACAATTTCCATGTTCGCTTGCTCTGGTAATTACTATCGTATCATAGCGATAGCTATCGCTTAGGTGGACCCTCTCTAGGACCACCTGCGGCTCCATGGAACTCCACTAAGCACGCTGCCAATGTTATTCTGCTGCAAATTGTGTTTTCGTGCAACACGAGAATTTAAAAGCATTATTTATTCATTTGTATGCTGTTGACATTGGTTTGATAGCCTGTTAAATATTTAGTCTGCGCGCAGCACAGCCATCGATGTGTGGTACAAGTGCGCGAGGGAATTCGCTCGATAAAGGATTCGCTGAAACACAACAGGTTGGGAGGCTGAGGAGGCTATGAGGATTAAAATGCATGCAAAAGCCCCACTTGAAATCAATTATAACCTGAACAACACACCTAAGATAGCCCCTTTTTAATGAACAGCCAAAATTCTGATTGCGCTCATTTAATATTTTATATCCGCATATCACAATGTGCAGCAATCGTTCCCAATTGAAGGATGTGCACGGGACATGAGCGCAGAAATAACAATCCGCCAGTCTCCCCCGCAGACTGCTTGGACACAACAAAGCCCCGTGTGTTGTGTGTAAAAAATATGAATAACCATTCAATCAACCCGAAAGAGTACAACAAAGGGCATGGCATGGCCTGGTTAAGGGCAGGGTGGAGCACAAAATATGACCAGTCATTAATATCGATGGATTACACGCGTTCGGCATTTTACGATATGAGCGCAAAATCGTTTTAAAAAACGAATTCGGCCTCGGCCCAAACA